GACCACAGACTTCTAAATATATTACTAGACTGCTAACAGTGCTAACTTGTTTGAAAAAGTGGCCTCCAATTTTGATGTATTGGATCATCTAAAAAGTATCCGTGGTACTTGTCACTAGATATATGACCATCAACACACATCTAGTGACAAAAAACCGCGGATACTTTTTAGATGACCCAATAATATTATACGCATGTGTCGAGAACCGTTCCACGTGACCGCGTGACGTAATCTGCACACATCAGCACACATTTTGAGGGAGTCGATTCTGTATTTTCAAACAAGAAAATTACAAAAGTGAACAAATTTATTAGGTATTGACCAATGAAATTATCAGTATTCTAGTAAATTGATTCACTTTTGTAATTTTCACCTCATTTCAAGATACAGAATCGATTCTCAGGTTAACTTATTTAACAGTATTAAAACCACCAAATATTTATTTTCATAATCCAGCTAATTATAAATTATTATAATTTATAATTAGAAATTGAATAAAATCGCATCTTTTATGCATGTTTATTAATATTCAATTGTCTTTCCAATATCTTTACCTTTTTACTTGAACTCTTTCTCTTCCAAAAGAAATAATATTTTTTGAAATCATATCACTTTCACAAGGTTATACGTTTAGCATGTGAAACAGTTGATGCAAAACACAGTCATACTGCATTCCTTTGGGTATATTCGTGACATTCATGCATGCGCAAAATTACTATACACTTTCGGAGTTCCATTTCACATAAGGGGGTAAGTCTAAGTAAAATTTTCAAAAAATCGAAAAAAAATTTTTTTTTTTCGAAAGATTGATGTCTTAAAAATATGCTCCTAAAGATTTTTATAAAATTCAAAGTATTTCTCGACTCTAACAGCACAAACGTCGATATGTCGACTGTAAGTTGACTTTGCTAAGTCAGGCCTTTAGAGTCGATTGTAACTCGACTTTGTACAGACGTCCTTCTAATATCGACTTTAGGACGTCTAATGCGATTTACGCTCACAAAACTTAAATGTAAAATCATTTCGTCCTTGTTATTTAACTATAATTAAACAAGGAATGCTGTTCATGATCGTTTTGGACATGAATAGGACCATAGCCTAGAATAATTGACTTAAAGTCGGCTTATAGTCGCCTTTAAAGTGGGACATTATATGACTTAGAGACGTCTCCAAATCGTCTAAAGTCGACTTACGGACGTCCATTTTTCAGATGTCTAGAAGCTATAGTCGATTTAGAGTCGACTTTGTGCTATTAGTTTCTATATTTATTTCTACGCGACTGGCGTCAATACTTATTTCTACGTGAAATAAAAGATGGATAGAAAAAGTATAAAATCTAATAACTGTAGAAGAAATCGAGAGGATAGAAAAGGACAACGTCCTTCAAATAGATATGAATTAGAGAAATCAGTAGATTTTGTGAGCACTTCTGCTAAAAAATTGATATCATCTGAAACATTTGATTTTTCTGTTAATTAGACCATCGGCTATAGAATCATAAATTTTTACTCCGTTTTTCTGGCGCTTGCTGAACATATGAAATACAAATCTTGTGGAGGAAATGTGGAGTTTGAAGAATCAAGTAAGCGAGGACTTGGATTTAAAATTACAATAAAATTTCCATCGTGTGCTCCAAAATTAATTAATTTTTGTCCGAATATCGACAACACATATGAAATAAATACCAGATTTATTTTTGCCGTAATCTATCAAAGAATTGACTAATCACAGTCAAGTATTCCCCTCTTATTCGGCGGTAAGAAGGGAATACTCGAAGGTGATTGGTCAATTTTTATTCACGTGATCAAATTAATGCTTGTGTTACGTTCCGGATGAGGACGCTAGGGTGAAATAGCACGGACAAGCGACATGCCGGCAAATTCAAATTAGGATTATAACTGTTATATTTAGAGATGACGAAAATGAGTCCGTAGGTCGAGCGAAAACTTACGGAGCCTCTCCTCAATAATAATTGAAGCTTAAATAAGTTAGGGTATGTTTCCACTAAGCACGTCATGCGTCGCGTCGTCCGTCCGCATCACAAGTTCAAATCAAAACATCTCATTTTATTGTATCATTTGACGCTTGACTCTTTACGTGACGTATTGTATTATCATTCTAAAAATTTGTTTCTATCTCTTACAGTTTCGACGATATTCAATCTGAAAAGAAACCGATTTTTTTCAAGGGAAAATTTCATCCTCTTAACGTGCGACTCAGCATATACAAAAAAATACTGTGTCTCCTATTTTTGTTCATAGAATAACATACTAAAAGCTCATTTAAATCGGAGAGATTTACTTAATTGTGTTCCCTTGTCAGTAACAGCTGTCCCAATCGAGTTAAGTACACTTAATCAACAGTTTACACTCCGATTGTATTACGTACTTTTATTTTTTCTCTGCGCTTATAAGCGAAGATATTGCGACGCAAAGTCCGGATCTATTCAGATTCAGATACGTCATCATTGTCGTCGACCACATTCCGCACATTCCTTTGGTGTCCTTTTTTACGCTAGAAGCGCTAGTGATATACATAATCGGCAAACGCTATGATATGTACTATGATAGTGTTTTAGTCGGTTCAAAACAACAGGATCGGAAGTCGGTCTAAGGGTGAATTCACACGGTACGAAAAACTACTATGGAATAGAGAATGCGTCATAGAAGCAACCAATCAGCATTATTCTACGTTATTTCGAATAGCGCTAATTGGTTGTTTCAATAACGTATTCTCTATTCCACAGCCCTTTTCTGCACCGTGTAATTTCACCCTAAGTATTTCGGTAATAATAAATAGGTAATGTTGAGTTTAGTCTTCTTCATGTTGATAAAATTGGGTACTTTCACAAATATGCAAATGTAAAACACTAATAGAAGGAAGCATTGTAGTTTGGTATATCCTTGGCAGACAGACAATATATGTTGAATTCAATGCTTTTTATATTCTCTGTACTGTACCAAAAATATCATCAACCCTCCTTTTTCTGTTATTTAACGACATTATAAAACGTATCTATAAGATAAATAACACATTAAAATGTGATTATTATGACATATCTTATCAATATTTAATTGTTGACTGGAATTGTTGAAGGAAACCAATAACATATTTATGTGTGTGTGTGTGTGAAAATGTATCGAATGTTATAATTAAATATAAAACAATTAAATACTAAATAAGAATTAATGTGAGTGTCGGTGTGAAAAAGGAGACTAAATTAACATTACATTAACATGTAAATGTATAATTCGCAAATTATGTCTCCCAACAGGGAATTTATCCTACACAGCAGAGCTCCAAAGGACGTCCAAAAGACATCCAGAAGACATCCAGAAGACCTTATATCCTAAGGATATTCCCATTTCTCGGATAAGATGTGAGATGTAATATTTTTTTTATTTTCAGATGCTCGCTTCGCCGTTTATCAGGTTAAACTTGGACTAATAAAGATCCTACAAAACTATAAAATTAAACCTTGAGAGAAAACGAAAATATCTTACGTAATGAGGAAACATTTATATTAACACCAAAAAATGGAATACACTTGAGAATAATTAAAATAAATCGAACTTAAGTTTTTTTTTAATTTTCTTAAAGAATATATATATATAAAAATCTTTCAAAATTAAAAAAAATCTATCAAAAATTGTATTAAAAAATTGTATGAAATAAAATATAAATATAAACTATAATAGGAGCCACTATTCCAACTAAAATATAATATTTGTTAATCTTATTAATTGTTGTATAATAAAAATCACGATGTTAATCAGTCAATAATTAGAGATTGTTTAAATTTTGTTTAAATTTAATTTATATATGTTGTTGTATGCGTAAATTAATATATAATCTTTTTAATTCTTTTTTTGGTATTTTTTCTTAAGACGATCTATAATTCATTACCAAATTTGAAACAGAATTCTATTTATAACATTGTGTATCGTGTAACATAAAAAAACATTTGAATGAATAAAATATAGACATATAGAAAATATATATCAGTGATATTATATAATTTACAGTAGATTATAGTTCATAGAGTAAATTTTGTATACTTTTAAAAATAATATTTCACTCGAGCATTAATTATAAGACACTGATTAAAAACCATTGTTCTTGTATAATTTTTAGTTTGATTGAACCAAATGCATTAAATGCATTTGTTTTCTCACATTTCACTTTTATTTTTTTATAAAATTAATAAAAATATATCGATATTTAACAATATTGAAAATAAGTATTTTGTCTACAAGATGTTATTAAATGATTATATTCTTTTAAATTTTAATAAACCCTTTCTCATTCCTTACATTATAGAATATAAAAAGCGAAGTAGTACATTTTGGACGGCTTTTTGTATATATTTACTATCTACATTCTACATATATATTTTTAATATTTTATATATGCTATCTACTACCGTTTTGTTATCTATTAGATTTTTTCTTAATCTTTATATCAATTACGATAGGTGAGTCAATAAATAATTCTAGAAAATCAAAATATACATTGACTCACTCACATATTTACGTCATATAATGTTATCGCATAATTACATAGTCATTTTCTTTTGAATTTTCCAAAACATCAGACTTAAGCATATTGTCTCTCAATTGTGGTGACATTGGAACATAACTGGAAGAATCTGTAAGAGTACTTTTTTGCGTACATATTGTATTTTGTATCCTTGATTTAAAATTGGAAACTTCTTGATGAGAATACTGTTCTGTATCCATCCTGTTTTAAAACCGAGTTCACATTTTTAAATTGTTCTAATTTTATATTTAATTTTCTCAGGAGGTAATTGTAATAAAATAAAATAAAACAATCTTACCTATCTTCTTCTATGTATTCTGGCCTATACTTCTGTCGTGGTGGTAATGCTGGAGGTTCCATTTGCAAATTGCATGAAATTTTATCTGTATCCTTATATTCATTGGAAGTGAATGACATTTTAGGAGAACAAATATTATCCATAATTTCTTCATAAATTCCAGAAGCAATAGAGGTATTGGATTTTCTGTTACAGGAATGAAGTTTTTCACTGTACATTAGATTAGGTTCCGAGTGATACATATTCTTCACAACTTTAGTGCTGATCGATGTTCTTAAACTGTTTTTCAAATTTAATATGCATTATTATATTAATATAGTTACTTAATTTTCTATATACAGGATGACAAAAAATTTTGGTCACAAAGTTTTACGTGTTTATTAAATTATTACTCAGGTAACAAATTGACGTTATTTATCATCATTTTCATCAACGTGCTATCTGGATAGTATAATGCATAAATATCAAAGAGAGAATTCTACATCAAAAAAATTTCATCAGTTAATGAACTAAAGAATGGCTATCTGGGAAAAATTTATTGGTGGAAAGATACCATCGTTGATGCGTTCCCAAAGCACTTTAAAGCTTGTTTCCAAATTAAAAGTAGTCATTTTATATTATTTTTAGTATTTAATCAAATATAGTTAAAGTTTAACACTCTTAAAGTTTTCTGTAAATATACATTTATTATTAATAACTTAATAAACACAAAAACTTTCTAGCTATTTTTGTTGTCATCCTGTGATGATACATACCAATTAGTGTCAGTATTAAGCATACAAAGAGGTACATCACTCTTTAATGGTGAAGAAAGACTACTGATTTCGTTGTGTTTCCTTGTTTCAAGACTCTCGCTATCAGAATGTAAAAATTTTTGTCGATGTTTCGGACCACGGCCCTGTGTTACCAAGTCTTGAAGTAATTTATTAGCGTCAAGACAAAATATGTAAAGTTCTCCAATGCCACAGCAAAACTCTTTGCTGGTATGTATTACACAAATACGCTTCACATCTTCTGGACGACCTGCTGTCATTAAGTGAAATTGAGTGAATTCTTTCCATTTGAAAGTTTTAGCTATCTCGCCTGTGTGAACATTTCTAATGAAAATTCCTGTTTGGTTGGCGATCAAATCTCCATATAAACCTGCCAAAGAATAAAAATCACGTTGATATTCATAGATTTACTAAATTAAGGATATATATTCAATGACATATATATCTAGATATATCAAATATATAAATATTTTTTCTCAAAAAAACATAAAATTGACATATTGGAAAAGTACTGTTTTTATTTTTTTTCCCTTTTTTCCTTTAAGTATCAGGGTTGATTGAAAAAAGAATATATGGAGAATATATGCATAGTTTTCTCCTTTCAATTAACATTGGTTACTTAAAGGAAAAGAGATTATACATAATGATAGAAAGAAGTCTACATAATTAATTGTTCTTCATTGTATAGCTTCTCTATCAACCAGTTAGTTTCACCAAAAGTTAAAAGCTTGATTTAGTTATATATATTGATACTTTTCAGCAAAAGATAGTGTAAAACACAGTCATCATTTCATCTTTGTTTAGCATTGCAAATGAGGGTGTAATAATTCACTGTGTTATGCCATACATGTCTCTCATTGGAAAACACTCTTAAGCTTGATTTCACCAATGTAAGATTGATCAGTTCAATTTATTCTTTATCTTTTCCTAATTTTAAGAATTAGAAAAACATAAAAAATACATTAATTAAGATTGAAGTTAATCTTATATTAGTGAAACTGGACTTGTATCATTGACTAGCTCCAAACTGACAATTATACCAACCAATTAAACCTGCTGCCTTCGAATGTGCGTTATCAACCATGGATACATCATATGATCTTTCAATGCAACAGTGCCTTCTGGGCTTCAACAAGTGTCTGATATTCGCCATCCAACGCTGAGTCTCAGTCTCCGAATTAGCGGACAATGACAACAGAGGCTTCCTATCCACTGCCGATGATATACTAAATGCGAATTGCTTCGTACTAGACAGAATACGATGTACGATGGCATTTGGTGGTATCACAACTGAGCTGTCTTTCTCGTTTTGCTTCAAAGCATTGTCGTGGTAGCTAAGTTTCTGATCAAACTGGACTTGCAAACCGAGACCGGGTTTCAACTTCCTTATTGAACACCACAAACGTTTCCATACCTTCGACAGAGTCAAAGCCCTTTTCCTCACCCTTTGTGCGATCTTTGCGTTGTATCTTTTTCTCGTCGACTTAACGTAGAGAAATCCACAAATTTCCGTGTCTTGCATACTCATTCTCTAAACAGGCACGTCGAATTATCACAGGAAGCTTCGAACAGACGTATCCTAAAGAGGGTATTAAGAAGACCTCTTGCACTTTAAATTTTGATAAAAATACACCGAATCGATGTGTTTCTTACAAAAAAAAAAATAAATTTGACAAGAAAATAGGCTAATTATTGAGATTAGCCTCTTCACTTCCGATGTTAATCAGTTAATAAACTCATTCAAAGCAATTCTGCACGAAATGAACGAATTTGTAAAAAAGTGTCACTTTATCCCGTTAAAGCGAACCGAGATATTAATTGCTAGAACTGACAGATATTCGGGTTAGAAAATCTATCATATCAGATTCATATGGGTGCATTCAGAACAACATTGAGCATCGTGTCATAGTTCTGACTTCCGAATGCACCCATTCAATATTTTAGGATCTAACGGAATATGCCAATCAGATGAAAGTAAAGCTCTAAGTAAATATTGGGTCATCTAAAAAGTATCCGCGGTACTTTGTCACTAGATATATGACCATCAACACGCATCTAGTGACAAAAAACCGCGGATATTTTTTAGATGACCCAATAGTAATCAAATGTGATTGACAATAATGAGAGACCAATAAATGGTCTAATCTCTCATTCTCTCTCCCATTACGCCATTGAATCGAAAGAAACAGAGATGGCCGTCTTCCACGATCTCTCTCTCTTACTTTTATCGACGATTTTGATACATGGATCTTGCAGTTCATTCTCTATGCTTTGGTAGATATCAAAGTAGCGCATCCTCCATTTTGTGGACCTACTAACCATATCCTATACCAATAATATTTTTATATTTATTGGACGACAGGCAACTAAATCGAAATGATAAATGAAATAGCCAATAGGAAGACTCGGCTCAGATAAAAGGTGCGCTACTTTGATGTAGGGGATCGATTCTGTATCTTGAAATGAGGTGAAAATTATAAAAGTGAGCGAATTTACTAGAATACTGATTATTTTATTGGTCAACACCTAGTAAATTTGCTCGCTTTATCTGCTCATGTACAATATTAGGTCAGATTATGCATTGAAGATTGCTGCATTCAGCAGACTTAACAATTAAGCTCGCTACTATTGATATATTCTTCTAGATCTCAAATCTGGTTGGACAATCTAAAAGAATACACCAATAACAGCAAGCGTTTACTCAACTGTTGAGTTTGCTGAACGCAGCCATTGAGATTGAAGATTAAAGATTGAAATTTCACCAATAAGGACAGAAAGAAATTTTGGCTCCTTTTGTTCTGATTGGTCAAACTTCAATCTTTCAATTTTCAATCTCATTCTTCAATGCTGTAGTTCTGGCCTTAGGCAATGTGATAAAAGAGATTATTTTTTTCTTCTCAAATATTTATTTTTACGTGAAAACACATCAATTAAGTGTAATTTTATCGAAATTTAAGTGAAACCGATTATATTAAATATTTATTTATAAGTAAAGCAGTAAAAATGTTTACTGCTTGTCGCGTAGAGAAGGAAATGTTACAAATCATTTAGAATAGAGTGTGACAAGAAATTGTCGCACTTTGTAATAATCAACTTATGTTAATATATTTTTGCTTAATATGACACGCATAAAAATGCGTAATGTTATGTTAAATTCATTGTGCATCGAAATCATCCGTGCCGTTCGTAATGCGAGACTTTTCAAACATCAAAGGTTACAAAATCATTCATAAGAATCTTGATTTGAAAGAAAAAAAACTTTTATTCAATTAATTGAAACGTTCAATTAGTTTTACACCTTGTTCTAGAAAATGGACATATTCATCAAGCAGATATTTCTCCACACAAGCGACAACCGATGTAGAGTACAATGTACCAGTTGAAGCCATTCGTAACTTTAGTATAGTCGCACATGTCGATCATGGTAAAAGTACATTAGCAGACAGATTACTGGAATTAACAGGTGCTATAAAAGCAAATTCTGGCAAGCAGATCCTGGACAATTTACAAGTGGAGAAAGAACGTGGGATCACAGTGAAAGCGCAAACAGCATCACTGTTTTATTCATATCAAGGCAAAAAGTATCTTCTGAATCTTATCGATACGCCAGGACATGTGGATTTTTCAGCAGAAGTTCATCGATCACTGGCTCCTTGTCAAGGAGTTATACTACTGGTCGATGCTAATGATGGTGTTCAAGCACAAACAGTAGCCAATTACTATTTAGCACGAGAAAAGAATCTTGTAATAATTCCAGTAATTAATAAAGTAGATTTGAAGAACGCCAATCCCGAGAAGGTCAAGGAACAGTTACAAATGTTACTTGATGTGGATCACATAGATGTTATAAAGATATCTGCCAAGTTGGGCACTGGTATCAATAAAGTTCTAGATGCTGTAATTGAAAGAATTCCACCACCTACGGTAGCTAGAGATAAGCCTTTCCGAGCACTGATATTTGATAGTTGGTATGACAAGCATAAAGGGACGATTTCTTTAATTTATGTGAAAGATGGAGCATTGTCAATTGGCAAACAAATTAGTTCTGCATATATGAAAAAATCATATGAAGTTCGAAACATTTTTCTTCTCAGACCTTACATAGAAAATGTGAAGACAATGTGAGTGAGTATAACTCTTATTATATAAACTAATTATACTTTATTATAAATTAAATTGGAGAGTGTTTGATGATAAGTCAGAAAATTTTAGAAGTAATTCTAAATAAGACGAAAATCTCAAGAATAACAAAATTGAGATATTGGTTTAATTTTTTATATAAATTCTAAAGGTTTAAATATTTATGTAAAGGTAATTATGTGTCTAACATGCACATG